TCATACTCATACTTGTTTAAATGACACTGTTTACTCTAGCGTAGTGTTAGTTCCTCTCGAGCTCTAATCCTCAGCTACTTTCAAATGAAGAGCTAATTCGGAGAAGCCTGCAGACTTTGCGCCTCCTGTGTGTACAGCAGTGTCTGTGCCATGAGGGAATATCTGAGGAGTGATAGCCCCGATCTTCTTTTGGAGAGCCCTGGATGTGTGTACTCATTTTTTAAAGACGGATCCATGTGGTTTTTGCTGTTGTGCTGTGTTTTTGGAGAGCCACGAGCACAACCCTTGCAGCTGCACAGGCTGAGCTGTGCCGTGCGTAGCTGGAAGAAGCTTCAGTGCTGTTGTGAAATAGCAAATATGGGCACTTACACAGCTATAGACTCGTAATTGTAGCTATAGCATCATGGATGTCTCTTTGCTCACAGGCATCAGGTTTCTAATGATGCTAAATATGCTGGAGATGGATGAAGAGTAGATATTTTTCTGTCAGCACTTAACCAGCTGCTGGATTCTAACTTGTACGAATAATAGCTGCTTGTGCGATACTGTGAGCATTCTGCGATCTTTAAATTAAATCTCTTGTTAATGATGACTATCACCGGGTTCTCAGCAGTGCCATTATGTAAGTTCCTTTGAAAATGTGTTTAATCCTTCAGAAACTGAACCAATGTCTGAATTCATCTCATGTAAGCACCAATGAAGTGGGGTTTTGATGTCTGCCTGTGTGAATTATCTGCCATAAAAATTGTTCTTGCGACACTCTTTGTACATCAAAACATATCCCCTACGTTATGTGAGCATCGACAATGAGCCCAGAAAAATCAGCTGAAGGAGAGATGTTGAGAAATGCAATGTGAGAGCGATGTTATAAGCTCCTTTTCTATTCAAGGAGGTGTTCAGCATCGCCTTCACGGGAGATGCAAAAAGTGTGACTGGGAGTTCTTACACCTGCATTTCATTTCTGTGTCATCTGAAGGAGAATTGCACAAGACAAGCGCTTTCTCACTACTCTGGGCTGGGGCTTCTTTTCCTCTTTGTTGCAGTGTTTTTCTCTTGTGAGGATTTGCCTGGAGCCAGACCCCTGGCTGCTCAGTCTCTTAGGAATCCTGGTGATGAGCACTCGAGGCTCTAGTAGGAAGTGAGGTTAAATTATTTGTCATCACCTTCAAATAGATCTTTTGGAAGCAGAAAATGCTCGTGTCAATAAATTGCTTTTGTGTTTCATCCTCCCCCTGCCATCGCAAGGTACTCCATCGCAAACGTGTGCTACCAAAGTGCATTCTCTTGAAATCGCTTTGTGTGCCTGTGCCTCGCTTGTCAGCTACTTCATTGCTGAAGAGAATGATGTTACTGCGTGGCTCCCGAAGATCACCAAGTTAAAAAAAAAGAAAAAAAAAGGCAGGTTTTAAAGAACAGGGCCAAGTGAGACGAACGGGAGATTCGCACGTGACGGTGCAAGTGGGGCTTGTGTTTACCTGCGGTGCTTTTTGGGGTGTTCTGGCAGCACGAAGGCTTGCTGCACCCAGCGGCCGAGCTCACGGGCTGGTTCTTCCTCTTGCACCAAGCTCCACTCCCCCCAGACCCTCGCGATGTCCTGACAGGGCCGGGCTGGGGCTTTGAGGCCTCCAGGAGGCACAGGCGGCACCAGCGTCACTGCTCCTGTCTGAGGGGCTGATGACTTCTGTGGGTGTCCTCCTCCTCCAGGACTAATTAATAATTGAGTTTGTTAACCTGTGTTTACAGGGGCTATTTCTGAAGCACGTGGTGAAGCTTTCTGCTTGGCTTCTTCAACTAAACCTAAGAGGGCAAGATATTTGCCACGCGAATGTTGAAGTTTGAATTAAAATTGTGCCCATCGCTTAAGGCTTGCTCCTGTCTGAAAATGGACTTTGGGCCCCACTTGCTGCTCACTGGATTACTGTGATGGTAGTTGATGTAAACCAGAGGGAACACTCTTCGGCCAGGCCCGTTCATTTAGATTTCTTAATTTTATTTTTACTGTTGAGGTCTGAAGACTACTTGACAGATGTCAAATACAGCAGTTGCTCTGCAGGTTAGCTGTATTGGCTAGTTCTGATTGGGGCTAAACTTCTAATTGCAGTAGTCTCTTTAAAAGAGACTTTACCGTACACAAATTCTCGATGCTTAATACGAAACTAAATGGCTGTTTTCAGGAAAGGAAAGCATTCTTGCCACTGGAAATTCTACTAAGGTTTTCAAATCTTTATTATTTTCATCTTTAAAAGGTAACTCAGGCTGTGTTTCTATGAAGGATAGCACACTCCTGTTCTGGTTTTATACATTCATACGTGTTTTCTGGGTCCGTAGTTACATTTGACCCCATACCTGGGCTTTACCGTACACAAATTCTCGATGCTTAATACGAAACTAAATGGCTGTTTTCAGGAAAGGAAAGCATTCTTGCCACTGGAAATTCTACTAAGGTTTTCAAATCTTTATTATTTTCATACTTAGACACTGTTAGCATCGCTCTTGGATTTTTTAGTGGATTTTGGTCAGATTCCTTTCACGGATGTCTTCCCTGCTAAAGGTTTTCTTTCTGCTGTGCGTTTGGCCAGCCATGCTTCTGGGAGTTGATATGCCCCATCAGGATTGTTTGCGTGCAGCACTTCAGTCCCAGATTCTCTTCCCCTGACATACGTTCCTGATGCATCGCTGATTTGGTTACGCAGCTGAGCTGAGACCACTTAAAAGCGTTGTCTTTGCCAGGGCCTGGCAATGTGATGCGGTCTGCAATCGATGAGGGGGGAGGTAATGAAAAGGGCTGTGCCCGGGGCTTCACAGCCTGGGAGCTCTCCTACCCTGATGGATTATTTGCAGGATTTCCATGTTTCCAGAGCAGCTGAGATTTAAATTTGAGGTGCTTTGGTAGAGGGTCTTAAATATAATGTGTAGGTTGAGTGGATCAGACGGCAGTGGTGCGGTCTGGTAATCAGAGGGATCCAAAGGAGGAGGAAAACTGTAGATAATTAAATATGCTCACCTAGGAGAATTGTATCTTTGTTTATCCTTAAGCAAATCACTTTTGTGGACGTACTTAGAAATTCTTTGCTGTTGTAGAATTTCTGTACAAAGGTGGTGATCTCTGTGCTCATTTGTAATTCTGGTCCATTGCTTCTCCACTCAAGGAAGAGAAAAAAAATAAAAGGATTGTTTGGGACTCTGCCGCTTTCTCACGAGCTGAAAAAAACCCTTTGCTCACAGGCTGGCTGCAAAAGGGTTCGTCCTGATGCTGAATTGAGGCAGTGCCCCAAGGGAAGTCAGGTTGGAGGGGCTGGGACTGGCCCTGCTCAGCAGGATCTGGTGCTGGTGATGCTGCTGTTGGCTGGGGCAGGAGGGAGAGATGCAAACACTTCAAATGAGCAGCAACAGGAAAATGGGCTTCTTGCCTCTGTTGAAATCATTAGTTCTCACAGTCATTAACAACTTGATTTCCTTTCCTTATTGCCATCAGCCAGCTAATTTAAATTCACTCATCCCTATTTCTAATTAAGGATGTTAACAAAGGAAATGTTCCCCACTTGTATCCTCCAGCCGATCATTCGCTCCAATTGAAACCAGGACAGTTTCTCACGTATTTGCAAGGGGTGACTCCCAAGGGCTGGTTTCTTGGAGCTGCTGGCGGCACCCAAGCTGTGTGAGGTTAGAGGGAAGTGCAATGCGACAAGCGGGATGGGGTCTTGGCACCCTTGGGAAACGGGAGGTGTCACTGCCACTGCCATGACGCAGCTCAGAGCTCTTCACACAGTAATTGCGTCTCTCGAAGCCCTGGTGAGCTGGGTGAGTGCAGTCACACGTTGTGCAGCTGCACAGATGGGATCGTGCTGGTGTTACCTGGCCATGGTGAAGCAGGAAGTTAGGGGACAGTTTCAGGGAAAAAAAAAAACCACATCAAGCATTCCTGATTGTGAACCTGTTGTGCCGTGCTTCAAGCACTGAAAATACGGCTTGGTTTGCTGCTTAATTGCTGTTATCTGCTCAAACAACAATAAAAGCAAGAAGACCACCTTATCGCCTGGCTTTACAGCCACATTACCAGGTAACGTGTTCATCTCCAGTCTGAGAGGGAAAGAATGGTTAAGGCACGAGCCTGCCACTTCAAATACTGAAAGTCACCTTTTTTGTCCCTGCTGTTGGGTCGTTTTGGGTCTTTGTGGTTTAATTCCTGTGGCCTGGTTTTCCATCTCCAAAAGGCCTCCCGTCTCGGAGTTTTGCGATGCCTTGACGCCTGTGGAATGCACTCTCCAAGGCAGAGGGTTTGTGGTTTCTCACACCAGGCACCGCGATGATCAAGGGCTGACTTTCAAAGCGCTGCTTTCCCCCCATTGCAGTTGGGATGACGTTAAGTGCTTGGATTCCTTGATTTCTTGCCTGCTAAAACAGTTTACAGGCAATGAGTGGATTCTGAAGGACGTTTTGGTCTCTGCAGGTTGGGGGAATGGGGTGTGTAGTTAAAGCAAGCACTGAGCTTCCCAAGGAGCCGTTAATAGCGGGCAAGTTCCTGCAGTTCTCCAGAGCGCCCCTTCGGTGCCACCTCTGAAGTGGCTCTTTCTTCCCTCAATCTGGCTCTGCCTTTCAATTAGAGCCTGGGATTTGCAGCAGAGCTAAACATCAGATTTAGGATAGCAGCTGTGCTTTATTTTAAATGCTTTCTTCTCTCAAAGATGTACTTGGGGAGCGTACAGAGGCTGGTGTTTTCTCTCTGAGGTGGTCCCTGCAGGTTATAGTTTCAGGTTTGTGATTATGGTAGGATTTGTTTCTCTGGATTATGGTGTAATAACTTGCAAGAGGAGGTGCTGATGATCCTGCTATCAAGGAAGAAGGATTGTTTTAGTTTTAATTAGTAAAACCATAATTCAAAATGTTTAATGGTATTGACTAAAACACGCAGTTCTTTAAATGTGCTCTGAGAGGATTAGTTAGTATTTGATATCTAGAAAGGACTGTTCCTTACTGTCCTCCTGTGTGTGTGCGTGCAGGGCAGGAGCGCATTGGCAAGGACTCGCACTACGAGCAGGAGGGGAAGGTGCAGTTCGTCATCGACGCGGTGTACGCCATGGCCCACGCGCTGCACCGCATGAACAAGGACCTCTGTGCTGACTACGCGGGCGTCTGCCCCGAGATGGAGCACGCAGGGGGCAAGAAGCTGCTCAAGTACATCCGCAGCGTCAACTTCAACGGTGAGCCCGCCTTCCTCACCCATGCAGCTTCTCCATCTGATTTCACTTTATGTACGTTTTTATTCAGTGCAGATCAAGACTTTGTATTTTTTTTTATTCTTTGGCTAGAGTTTGTGGCAGAAGACCATGTTTGTTTAGTAACTGAAAACATCATGTTTTGGCCAAGGCAAATAGGCAACCGCTGTCCAAAGACAGAAATCGCTGCTGCTATTTTAGGATGCTTTCCAGAAGACTGATTTCCTATGGGAGAAATAGCTGGGCAAAAGCCGAAGCCTGTCCGACTAAATATGCTTGTCGAAACCCCAGAAGTTTGTTAGCATAACACATCCTTTTTCCTCTTTATTTATTATGTGTCCTGTACTTGGCCAACACTGCTGGATGAAATCCTGGTGCCCTGCACCCAGCTCAGCTGCGTGCAGAGCCAGGATTAGGTGGTTCAGAGTAGTCACTCCAACCTTCATTCCCCTAATAACACTTCAGAGGAGAAAAAACGTCCTGGGAATGTGGATGGGAGAATTTTATCTGTTTTTTAATCATTCTTTTCACCTGTGCTTCCCACTTTTGGCAGTGATGGTTGCAATACCACCACTCTGTTTCACAGAATCACAGAACATTAGGAGTTGGAAGGGACCTGGAAAGCTCATCCAGTCCAACCCCTGCCAGAGCAGGATCACCAGAGCAGGTCACACAGGAACACGGCCAGGCAGGTTTTGAATGTCTGCAGAGAAGGAGACTGCACAACCTCTCTGGGCAGCCTGGGCCATGCTCTGGCACCCTCACAGCAAAAAAGTTTTTCTTTTTCCCTCTCATAAGGGAGATGCTCCACTCCCTCCATCATCTTTGTGGCTCTGCTGGACTCTCTCCAGCAGTTCCTGTCCTTCTTGAACTGAGGGCCCAGAACTGAACACAATATTCCAGATGTGGTCTCACCAGGGCAGAGTAGAGGGGAAGGAGAACCTCTCTGCCCTACAACCACCCCTTCTCATCCACCCCAGGATGGCATTGGCCTTCTTGGCTCAAGGGCACATTGCTGGCTCATGGTCATCCTGCTGGCCACCAACACCCCAGGTCCTTTCCAGCCACTCGTCCCCTGTAGCGTCCATGGGGTTATTGTGACCCAAGTGCAGGACCCTTGTTGAAGCTCATCCAATTGGCCTCAGCCCATGGATTCAGCCTGTCCAGGTCCCTCTGCAGAGCCTTCCTACCCTCAGCAGATCAACACTCCCTCCCAACTCGGTGTCATCTGCAAACTTGCTGAGGGAGCACTCAGTCCTCTCATCCACATCATTGATAAAGATGTTAAACTGTTTCATACAGCACAATGGGCTTTTGCGTATTTTTCTCTTCATTGCAGTGTATGAATATCGGCAGATACTCCTTACCTCTATGTGTTTTACTCTGACTTTATTAGTTTCATTAACAAACATTCACCTGCAGTCAGCCCAGAGACACCAAGAGCAGCGCTTACAGCAGGTGACATTACAGCAGCCCTGTGTTATTTCCCCTCCATAAACCTCACTAATGCACTTACCAGGAGGTCTCACAGCTCCTGCCCAAGCTCTGAATAAGATACAGATCAGAGATTTAATCAGAAGCCAGAAGTCAGACCTCCAATTCCATACTTGGAACAGATTTAGGGAAGGAATGAAAAAAAAAAATCTCCTTTTGCGTGGCAAAAGGTTTGTGTGAGCTTGGCGTCTTCGCTGAGCAGCCCGGGGAGGCGTGCCCTGCTGCAATCTGCCAAGAAATATTTTTATTCATAAACTTAACAAAACCCACACATAGCCAATAGGACGCTAGAGATTTAAAGGTAGGAACACAGATGGTATTTCACTGTCAAGCTTGGTCATTTGTGCCAAGGATATTTTTCCTTTCTGTATAAATCGTCTCATAAAGAGCAAGGTGAATATGAGGAGGCTTTAATTTCTTTCCTTGAGGAAAGTGGTGTTAACTACAGCCGGGAGCACATTTGGAGAGAAGTGATCTGAGGAGGTCTGCAGAGTTCTGCTTTGCTCCTGCTGGAAGGTTAATTACGAAGGACGAAGCTCCTGCAGGAGCACAACGCTCGTGTGCCCTATTGCACCTGGGCTGTTCTAGTGCTGGAAAACAGCTCAGACCTGGTCGCCTCCTGACACTTCTAGCGGATGAAGATGGTGAGCGTTCATCTGATCGTCTTAATAGAGCTGAGAAATGATTTATGAGCAACTGCACGTCCAGCTAGTGTTGCCTACTGCCCGGCTCCAAGAATTGGTCTGCACCAATTTTGGTTTCCTTGTTTGTGTTTCCTTGGTCTGGCTTTTCAAAGATGACTTTTTCCCCTCCCTTTGCGATTGATTTTCATGGCCATATGGTGTTTTTCTTTGCTTGCAAACGTGGAACTCATGTCCAGCATGGGGACTGAAGTAGTGCTTTGGCTTTTAGCATGGGCAGGAGGATGGTGACAAATCTGAGATAGCTTTAAGCCTTTTTAATTTCTCTTGGCCATCCGGGTGTAGCATTTTTCATTGGAAAAGAACCAGCTCCTCTTAAGTTTCATTATCGAGGGGCAGAGTTTAGTGTTTTTCTTGCAGTGTTCATAGTGCACAACTGCACATGTCTGCATGCCCTGACTCCGTGTTCAGCTCTGACCCTCCCAGGACTCAATCCTCGGGCTATCGAAGATGCTCTGAAGCTGATTTCTTCTTGGTTTTATATAAAAGTAAATCCTCAGAATTGCTGTGGATTGGTTCAGTCTTCCCAGGAAGAAGGAACAGGACAAACAACCATCGTATAACTCACCAAACGGATGAGGCCAGCCTAACAAAAAGCAAAGGGACGAGGAGATGGTAGAAGCTATGCTTAAAAATCCTGTTTTCTCAGTCTTCTACCTAAATTTGTCAGAAAAAACAGAAAGTAGAGCAGTGGGAGGGCTTTGTCCAAACTCTGTGCCAGGCAGGAAAAAATGTAGCCCATTTTCAAGCATCCTGAGCCCAGGAGCGTGAGATCTTCTTTGCATGTAATAGATCTCCTTGTCACCATGCTGCTGAAATCGTCCTGTCTGTTGCTGCTTTTGGAGTCTTTTCTTCCTTGCAAAGGTAATGTCATTCATGCAGAAAGAGCTCAGGCAAAGCTTTAATGAAGAGAGGCTGGATTTGCACTTGGAGCTCAGTATGAATTTTGATATCGTCACTCTACCTTGAGAACAAAAAGGCCCAAAATAGGGAAAACTTAAAACCTCAAGTGCTCATGCGGTGAGATTCTGTAAAATCTCAAAGTGCAAAGTGGCGGTATTTCTGCCAGTGAAAAAGCTAAAGAATTTGTTCTACGAGCCCTTCAGGTCCTCAAACTGCAGCAAACGTGAACTGAATGATAAGCGCCTTGGCGAGGTGCGCCTGCCAGCACCCTGTCCTTCTCCTGTTAATTCATTTCTCATCTCGCGCTGATGAAGAGTTCGAAATCCTACAGATTCAGTCAGATAGTGGGGTTTTTTTGAATGCTTCCTGCAGGTGAGAGGGTGTCGTGTAGTCCATGTCTGTGAGAAGGCAGCTCATTTGGTGGGAACTGAAGATGAATTAAATTGTCATGGCCTCTGAATGAGCGAGGAGCTGCAGTCTGGAGGGTAATGCTGAGTTTCTGAAGTGCTTGCTGGGGCTGAGCAAAATCCCTTCATATCTTAACAGAAGGAAAATAAATCCTAAATCCTAAAACCCAACAACTAAGCAACTGAATGTTTTAATAATGAGAAGATAAAATAACAAATAGGGTCATTTTTGAAACGCTGTGATGAGGTTTCTGGACATTGCTCTGCCGTTTTCCTAAGTGCACAAAGGAACTTGAATTGCAAGCAGAGATGGAAATGCTGTGGGGATTTAAACCGGATCTGATCTGTCCCTGCAGACAGGTGGTACAAAAGAAGCACCAGAGTGTGTGCCAGAGCCCACACCAAGGTCAGAGAAGCCTTGCATTCACTAAGCAGGTCCTTGGCCACGAGTCCAATTACTCCAACTTCAAAGTCAGGAGACAGGACACTTGACTCATGATCTGAGATTATCAGTTCTTTGTGTTTCCGTAGATATTCATCCTCCCTACAGATCCCAGACTTTTCACAGCTTTTTTCTGTATAATTTTTAATGCATGAATGGCGATGTACCTGGAAATAGCAACAGGTCCTTTTCACTGACTGTCGAGTATCTATATCCGTGCATGAGGTCGATGTCCCAAGGAACTGCGCTTTAGGGGCCTCTGGAGGTGACCCAGCAGCCAATGCTGCGTCGTGCCGCATTGCAGTGGAGTCTGCAGCCCTGCAGCGTCCAAGTGCATCCACTGATCTTAAGGATTATTTTAAATGTCAGTGTTTAGAAGCTGTCTGCATGCTCCGGGTGCCCAGCTGGGGATGGAGGGGCTTGGCTCTATCCCGTGCTTCATGGGGACTGTGGCTCAGCCAGGAGGGTTCTGGGCCATGCTCCTGATGGCCCATGAGGACCAGAGATGTGCTCTGGGCTGCTGCTCCTCAGCCTGCAGAAGACTTTGAGACAGCAGGGCTTATCTCCGCACTGCCGACACTGGCATGGCCGTGACAACATCTGCTCTTTGTCTGCTTCCTGATGTGGAGACACGGATACTTCTTCACGTCCATGCTGGACTTTTGTCAGCATTTGGGGAATCCACGGATGTCTGTGTTGCATTTTGGGAGCTCCTACCCTTTGAATTGTATTCTTTTTTTTGTCAGCTCTTACAAGACCGAGCTTAACTAATAATGTACAGCCCTTTAAGAGTCGTGATTAGCTAAATCCCGTTTGCCACTTGTGCTCACTTTCCAAAGCAGCCGAGGAATTACAGCCATTTCTTCTTACTCACTTTAAGTGTTTTCACTGTAAATGTATTCTGGCTGCATTAATCTGTAATGACAATTAAATATCTGCCTAGTGCTCGTGAGAACCCAGTGAGAGGAGATTGCAGTGGAAGATTTTCTGTATCAGCCTTTGAACTGAATCTGTATCTGATCTCAGAGGATTGGAGGATAGACAGGAAACAATTTACCAGGCCTAGAGTGGAAACTATGCTAATTCACTCCCCCTTCAAATCTTTTTTCACTCACTGGAATTCAATGAAGAGTGGGAATCATGAAGAAAACCATCATCTTAAAGTTCAATGCTACAACAGGAGAGATTTTTCATTGCTTTAGGGAAAAAAGTTACGCAGGAGGAGGAACCTTTGAATATAGATGTGCTGGAGTATTGTCATAATCTTCAATCTTGACACAATATTGCTCTACCCTACTGAAAGCTATTTTAATATATCTTGAAATAAGTGTCACCCTTTAAGTTTTCACGTAGAGATATGAGGAAATGCAACGCTGCTTTGACTTCTCACCTAAGACAAGGCTCACATCCAATGCCATGGTAATTGAAGTGCAGATGTCCTGGTAAGAGCTCTCCTAGGATCAGGAATCGTCCATCCCATGGCTCAGCTGTGGGTGCATCTCCAGGCTGCTTTGCAAGGAAGGGTTGTGGGGGTATCCTTGCCTTGTCACTTGCCCTGCACTTCTTTAGCCATTTAAGTCACCTTAATATATGGCAGATAAAGTTAATTGGGGATGCAGTTCCTGACTGAGATGCTTTTCAGCCTTTGTCAGTGTCATAGACTCTAAATAAGGGAGTACACAAGGAACAGTCTTCCCATAGCTTAGTCTGTTCTTTTCCATCCCAACTGCATGCTGATTATGGGAATAAGAACATATTGTGGAGGAGGAAGCTATTTCTGGATGCTAGTCAAGATTCACTAGACCTGGGCTGACTTCTGACAGCAGTATCTCTCTGAAGCAGATGGAACATTTTCTGGGGAAAAAAAATAATTTAGAGGCTCCATTCACAGGAGTGATTTTCAGTAAAGAACTCCCAGAGGAAAGGGAGATGGGAGGGAGGCTGGAGGGCAGGCAGAAAAGCCTTCTGATATTTCTTGCTCAGCGCGAAGCCGGAGTGAAGTAAGGCTGATCTAGTTTTGCTTGGTTTATTTTAAGTCAGTAGGGTTTGGCAGTGATAGTCTCTGGAAGAGGCCGAGGATGCTGCTGCTGTGTCCCTAAACATCCGTTTGAGATGGCTGGGGTGAAAGATGACCTTTGCCTGAAATGCACTGCCAGTCCGAAAGCTCTGAACCATGACTACGTGAAATAAATACTGAAAACATTTGGCTTTTTGTTGGTTGGTTGGTTGGATTTTTGTCTTGTTTTCTTCCCCCAGGCAGTGCTGGCACTCCAGTGATGTTCAACAAAAACGGCGATGCCCCGGGGCGCTACGACATCTTCCAGTACCACACCACCAACACCAGCACCCCGGGCTACCGCCTGGTCGGCCAGTGGACGGATGACCTCCAGCTCAACGTGAGCCTCTTTTATTCTTTGCTTGCAGTTTTCTGGCAGGTACAATCACTATGGTTTTCACATCTTGCAGAAATCAACAGGGATCTTTACTATTTCTTCGCAGCTACATTTTTTTGCATGTTATCTTCTTTTACTCTGTCCTGCAACCTTTTCTCTGTACCCTGAGTACCAAAGCTCCTCAGACTGATGGAGACGTTAGGTGATCATGCCAATTTTATTATTTTTGTGTCTGAAGCCCCTGGTTGCCAGCTCTGAAAATGGAAGGTTTAGTTTGAACCAAGGGGCTTTCATTCGCAGGTACTTTGCAGCTCTTCTAGTTGTATTCTTCAATCTTTCCAGTTGTAGGAAAGCTGGAATGTTTTCTGAGTGACTCACTTTTCCAGTGTTACTTTTAAGCACATAGCAAAGTTATCCATATGAATGAGATGGCCTTTTTGTAATGAAGCCTGAAGAAAAACAAGCACGTAAGAGCTGGTGATCAAAGACCCCCGAGATACTTTGATGTCTCCAGGATGATAAAACCACAACTGGTGACCAGGAAAGCTGGAGACTCTTGTGTCAGCTTTGTCCATACACGGGTGGTCTGTGACGGGTCTCTGGAGACCTGGCTTCAGGCTTCCTCCTTGACTTGAGCCTCAAATGCATGGAGAAGTAGCGACGGTTTAAGCTCGTAGTTATTTGACTCCTTGTAGATCGTTACTAAAGCACAGACTGCATTTTCAGTTCAGTTTGACTGCTCTTCAGCAGCAGAGGCTGAACAAAACCAAGGTGTTCCTGAAGTGAAATGCCAGGCGCTACAAAAGGGTTTTCCTCTCTCAAAGCTGCCACCCGTGGCTGCACCAGCTCCCTCCCCTAACATCGTCAACCTCGCTGTGCTGTGGCTCCTTCCCCACCTCTGCTGTGGGATTTCTTTGAGACCGACCACAGTATTTCGCTCTGCTTGAATTTTGGCACATTTTGATGCGCCGCATGCTTTTTCAGTGTTTTTCAGCTTTTTTTTATGTTCTATTTAAGGAAAACTGTATTAACTTGCAATTTACAGTTCTTTTAGCAAAAATATTAATATTTTATTAAGTGAGCCCTTCTTTATATAAAGTACACATCCTGATTCATTAAAATTTAAAGCTAAATTAATGGAGCATGATTTGTATTCCTGATGTGTTAAATGCTTCCATAAAAAGCGCACTTTTCTCACCCTCATGTCCTCACGGCTACGGGGTTACATCAGCAGTTGAGTTTGCCTCTGTAACTTCCCTTCTACTCACTCACGGCTCGCAGTTTCTCACACAGGATTAGCATTGCTGTGACAGTTCCTGTTTGCATTTCCTTACAACAATAAAGAAGATTGTGGAGTTTAGAGAAGGCAAGGAAACCCGAAAATAATCAACCAAAATAATAGCTGCTGTTAAATACATCCCAGGAAAAACTGCTACAGGCTACAATTTGTCTCCAGTAATTATTGTGGAGATAACACTGCAGGATGTATTTCCCCAATTCTTATTTCCTTAATACTGACACAAGAGGGGAAACAAAAGGATGTTTGATGAGAGTGCTAATTTTAATTTAGAAATTGCTGAAGTGTTGCTTTGTTTTCCGAGAGACTTGTCAGCTTGGGCAGTCTCATTTCATTCTGCGTCTCCGAAGTTCCTTGGTTGCAAAAGAGAAAAGTTGCTCTGCCCTGTTACGCAGGCCATAATGGTAAGGACGCTCCAGATCGCAGAGGCAGTAGGTAAATAAGTGCTGAAGGCCATCACAGGTGAGTCAATAATTTCTTCTTTATCATTGTCCTCATTCAGAGAAGGACCAAGAAGGTTTTGCCGTTTCATTTCCCTGGAAGCAATGCTGCTGCTCAGTGTAAGGTTGGTATAATCACATGTGTATGTTTCACTTGCTCCAAATTTTCCTCTAAAATAACAGCAAAATTTAGAAATTTCCAATGGCTATGCAGTACAAAAAGTAAAAGTAAAGCTAGTCTTGCTTTATTAGTTGATAATTTTTGTTAAAAATGTGATTTACATACCCTGTAAGTAGACCACTATTCGATTTGGATGAGGAGGCATACAGGTTTAACCTCTTGTATCGCTGAAGTGAGCAGCAGACTTGTGTTGAACCAAAAAGCCAGAGTTTTGGCCTTTTCTTCCGTCTCTGCCCTGTTTTCCTGTTTCACTCTGGCAAGCCTTTGGGGGTCATTAAAAGGCTGAGCTCATTTACAGTTTTCAGTTCAAGTAACTCAGTCCTGGTTTGGATGTGTCGGCACCACCGAGGCTGAGCCCTGAGAGGCTGGAGGGACCTGTCCAGGTTCTTGTGTATGGACAGTGCTGCTTTCTGTGATCTAGCAGCAGATGAGTTGTTGGGGTGCTGGGCTGGATGGATGGACGGACTGGAGGTCCATGGATGCACTGGAGGACTTGACTGAACACCAGGAGGGAAGCTCTCCATGGGGGAAGTGCTCTCGTGGTAGAGCACCCAGCTGAGATGTGGTGTTCACCTCACACCGTCCCTCCCCAACTTGCAGCACAGTGGTGGACGTGATGCCCTGTGTCACCTTCACCCTCGTCTTGGTGAGCAGTGGAATGGTTACAGGAGACCTATTTATTTGCCATTAGAGTGGGATATCTTCCTAGAGCAAGCTACTAGGGTTTTTTTTTTTCATTTTAATTGTCTAATTACTGCTGTACTTCTAACCTATTAGTGCCCGCATAGGGTGCATCTTGTTATTTTAATCGCATCGCCAGCTCCAACTTGTCAAGTGCGCTCTTCCAGCGCGGTGTTAGGGCTTGTAAAGGTGCCAGTGGGCACTCGGGTGCTGATCAGATGCTGAGGCATGTTTTCAGGATGGCTGAAGAAGGTCTGTATTCAGCTGTGGATGGAAAATAAGATGTCCTGTCCAGGATTATACTGTAGAGATTGCAAGTAGGTCTTACTTGAAACATGTTTTACTTGAAACATGTTTTACTTCCAAAGCATCAGACATCGGATTGGGGTCAACTGTAAGCTCCAGAGCAAATTAAAACATTTCTTGAATGAATTTGTTTGCAAACAGAAACAAATACTTATTAAAGATGTATAAATGCACTCTGTGCAGAGATAAACAGAAAATCTGTATTGTTTTATAGATGTGCCTTGGAATTGTAAATTTAGTGGCGTGGAGCAGTGTACAGCTTGAAACACGACTGCTGCTTAAACAGAGCCTTTTGGGTGCGGAGCCGGGAAGGCGAGCCGCTTAGCAATTCCTTACACCTTTATTAATTTCCTCCGGCAATAAGTGATATATAGCTGCAATCTCCCCAAACAAGCGCTTAGAAGATTGATAGTATTGATAATTATCAATATGGTTCCATAAACACGTACATTATATAGGTCTGGCTCCCCGTATAAATCCTGGTTCATGTTACGCAGTGCCAAGGGAATCGCTGTGTGCTTATTAATAACTCCCTCCTCCTTGGAGAAAGAGCTGTATTATGATGTTTTCTTCACTGTAGGTTCAGGTCAGTATTTTAGAGGAGCATGAAAAATGGACAAAAGTCTTGCTTTAAAGCAAGTACCATTCCTGTGCTCTGGCTTTGGAGCAAACAGAGGGTGCGGATGGCTTGAGGGCAGCTTTCACCCACTTGGGGACCACCGCAACAGGAGGCAGGACCGGTTCAGGTCCATGGACAGAGGACGACGCAACGTCCATGCTGCAATTCTCATTTTCTTCACAAGCAGAAATATATTAAGTAACTTTGCAGTCATCTGGGCAATTTATGCCAATCCTGCACACTTCAACACCTCCTGAATCTGTTAGGGCTCAGACTGATCTGTTTACATCCCATGAACATCTCTGTTACGGGATTTGGAAATAAATGTTATGAATAGCAAGCTAATGAAAAGAGTAATTAAATGTCTCAACTTCTGGCAAGAGACCTCTACGTACCTGACTTTTTTTTGGTGAAATATCCAGGATGGCAATTAGATCCAAGCAACTGTTCGGCAGAGGTTGATGCTCAGGGATATTCTGCCAGCAGATGGTACTTTGCTAAAATGAGGTGTTCAGATTTATTTCTGTTCATTAATTTTGGGTTTTGTTGTTGGATTTTGGGTTGTGTTTTCCTCAGGGGTAGGGCACGTTCAGAGCAGATGGATTGTTCTCAGAATGTTTTGCGGCAAAAAGTGGATCTTTCTGGAGCATGTGCAAATTTCCCTTTATTGAAAGCCTGGGATTTTCACGGTTTCTGGTGGGAGCAGAGCAAAAGGGCGGGTGTCTGGCCAGTTAGAAGTCTTGCTTCAAATAGCAAGGGATGAGAGAATTTCACCCCAATGACTATGGGGTTCTTTTGGGGATTTATAGTCACTTCTAAAAGAGCGTGTTTGACCTAGCGTTTTAACTGAAATTTTAAAACAGAAATTTGACATTTCCCAACTTAGGAAATTTCAGCTTTAACTGTTTCACCTCGGTGCAGCTGTGTGTAACTGAAAGTACAATTATTGATAGAATTATCAGCTCTAGCTCGTATATGCATTTAATGTATAAAGTTAACCTCCCTCTTTGCAAATATATACAACAATGTGTGTGTTTACATGCCCTTGTATGTGTTTATGTGGGTGGATGTATATACATGCACAGAACTTAGGAATGTGAAGGATTATTTATTTCAGTTTGTTTGCAACATCTGAGCAAGCCCAAAATCATGGTTCAAAGATTATGTCAAGATAGGAAAAAATTGGTATCAATTTCCTTTCTCATTTCAGTTATTGTCACATAAATTGGCCCTTGTGCTGTCATTTCCTATCCCTGCTGCAGACTGTAATGAGTAGCTGGTACAAAGTTAATCCATCTCCCTTACAACCCGGAGCTTGAAATCTTGCAAGCGGATGGGCTGACAGGAGGAACGCGTTATTCAGGTGTCAGACAGTCTCATTAAACAAATGCGGCAAATGAGGGCAGGGTGTTATTTAAAATTAAGATTTTAAGTATTAGGCATGTTTTGTTTTCATATATCGGCGCGGAACCTTGAGCT